GTGGCGGTGGCAGCGGGGTTTGGGTAGGGTGGGTGTGGGCGGGATGGTAACTATGATGACGACAATATTATCATGGTGGTCGGTATGGGTGGGTAGGCGGTGGCTGAGGTGGGGAGGGTGGTGGTCCAACAAAGATGGAGATTCCAATTCTTTTGAGAGATTTTATTTCAATATCTACCAACCAAACGGATGGTCAAATTATTACATCAAATTTCCTTCAAATTTTTTAAATTCAATTCTTTTGAAAGATTTCAATTCCACCAAATTTCATTCTGCGAACCAAACGCCCCCTGAGTATTATAGTAAGTTTATAAGATATTTTGGGGCTAATCAAATTGTAAGACACTTTTAAAATTAAGTGTCGTGTTAGTTTATTTATAGGACAAATTGGACAAATATCCTATATGACATTTTTTTAAATAATGTCATATAAAAAATTAATAAGGCGTTTTATTTTAAAAGTATCATAAAAAAACTTGTTAAAACATCCAAAAACTTTTTACATACTTATTATAACATTGTTATATAGAGCATACAGTTGTTTGTTCCTATAAAGTTAAATACTATAAAACAATTTATTAGACACTAAAAAAATTTAATGTAAAAAATAAAGCTGATTTGATTGTAGTGAGTAGGTGAGAGATGATGTAGCTATAATCTATGAGGAGGATTAATTACCTGTTGTAGGTATGAAATACTAAGTTTTGAAATCCTGCAGAATGTAAAGTCTCTGCAGATTTTTCCCCATGTTTGTATTCTATCACATCATCAACTGAAACACAAAAACGACTTCTTTAAACTACTCACATGGGTGCAATATATATATTATATATATATATATGACCACGTAATTTTTTCCCTTTTTGAATCCAAAATACATTATATTATTAGTTGGGAAATTTGTATATTAAGAAACTTCCTTTAATTGACAATTTTCCACCTATAACATCCATATATTCTTCGTTTCTAATTCTTTAAGATGTTTGTCATAATAAATTGGAGTATTTTCACAAACGGATCAAGCTATGAGTGATTCGTTCGTGAAAGTTAGTACTGTCGGTCAAGGTCCATTAGGCAAACTATCATGGATGATAGCTTCATTGACGGTTTACTCAAGGCCTTCAACAACGGTGACTATCACAGACTGTGTGGTTCACCGATGGTTTAAGTTACGGACGGGTTACCAAGGGTGAGGACCACTGGCGGGTGTTTGACCATTAGTGATTTTTGTTGATGATAACCCTTTGTCAAGTAGTGTCTTTTACCCTAGATAAATGCAATGGACTGAAACCCTACTTTTATCAGTTGTAAGGTCAATCGGTACGGTTTAAGATTGGCATGGAAGTGTTTTATATCTTTAATATTAGGGAAAGCTTGATGGCAAATTGTAAAAACGATAAAATAATCTTGAACTTGAAAAAGGTTTGAGTACGTTTATGTATCCAATTTGAAATCAACATAAAAAACGTACATGTATGGCATTTAAAGATTTTCTTTCTAAGATGTTCAACACTCCTAAGGAAAAAAAGACCATTTAGTATTACTAAAGAATCATTAATCATATCCACCAAATGATAATACATATCGCATGTACTATGAAAGCTAATTAACGGTAGTTTTAGTTAAACATAACATCAATTTTCGATTTTAATTTCCAAAAAGAAGTTGAAGAAAGAAGATAAGGTTTCACTCTAGGTTGGAGTAGAGTATGTCATTTGAACAACTAAGGTCGAGTACAAAGCAAAGCGGTTGCAAAAGTCAGAATCGATCAAATATAAAGGCTACGAATTTGAAATGAGCAAATAAATCCTTGAGGGCTTGTACCTTACAGAGTAGAACCAATACTTGTGCAACTGTAAGTGAGCGGGTTAGCTTACCTACAACTTGACTAATCCCACAAGAACAGAGATACTCGCTAATCCCCTCAAACAATTAAGGTTACTTTGCTTCATATATACTTGATTGTCCTAGCTTTGGAGACATAAGTAGGTTTGTCAATGTCTTAAACCTTAAACCTTAAAGAATAAAACAAGTTCAAGATATAAGGTGTTATATTACTAGCATTTGATCTCATTAGAACTGAATGTGCCACATCACGTGAATGACCCCAACTTGATATCTTTTTTCTCTATTTATTCTACAAATGAATGTTTTCAGTTGTGATGATTTTTTTTTATGATAATAAGGGTTTGAAATATGAGAATATACAAGTATACCAAGTACTTGTGTAGAGAGGAGTAACATTATCTTAAACATTTTCTTAGAAGAATTGAATTACTCAAACTTTACAAATAATATTTTCACGTTTGTCATCACAACATATATTCAAATAAAAACTGTTGTCATAAACTATGAATTTTACGAATTCAAATAAAAAACTGTTGTCATAAACGATGTATTTTACGAATTCAAATCAACTATGTATTTTACCATAAAACCAATCAAATGGTTTCATGATGACAATTATTGTCACATTTTAAACTGTCGACAAATTTAAAACAATTTTACAATATTTAAAAAGTCATGTTTATTCGAAATTGTTCGTATTATAAATATTTGTTCTTGAACATTCATGTATTGTTTTTATTTTCAAATACTAGTTATTTTAACGTTTTAAATTAATATCCTTACCGCAAATAAAAAGA